ATTTAGTTCATTCATAATGTTGTGCAATTGTCACCATCATCCATCTCCAGAACACTTTTCATCGTGCAAAACTGAAACTCTATACCCATTAAACATTAACTCGTCATTCTGCTCTCCCCTAGCCCCTAGCAAACACCGTTCTACTTTCTGTTTCTGACTTTGACCACTCTAATTATGTCATATAAATGGAATCATACAGTATTTGCTTTTTGTGACTGGCATATTTCACTTAGCATAATATTTTCAAGTTTCATCCATGTTGTAGCATGTGTAGTATGTGTCAGAATTTTCTTTCTTTTTTAAAAAAGGAATATAAAATGTAAAAAAGTGTGGAGAGAAGGTCTAATGCTCCGTCTGCCCAGCTTCTCCTTTGTGCATTCCTAAACCTCCAAGATTCTACGAGACATAGTTCGAAGGTTACTACTAAAGGTTAACAGTGACCTTTAAAGTCTTGTTAAAGGTTACTGTCACTTTCTTTTAAAGGCTGGATAATAGCCCATTATGTAGTTATACTACATTTTGCTCATTCAATCATCCATCAATGGGTACTTTTAGCTATTGTGAATAATGCTACTAAGAACTTGGGTTGTACAAATCTCTCTTTAAGACCCTGTTTTCAATTATTTTGGATAAATACCCAGAAATTGAATTGCTTGATAATATGGTAATTTGATTTTTAGTGTTTTGAAGAACCACCATACTATTTTCTGCAGTGGCCGTACAATTTTCACATTCCTGCCAATGGTATACAATACTTCCAATGACTCCACATCCTTGACAACACATGGGATTTTCTTTTCTTTTCTTTTTTTTTTAAATAGCAGCTATCCTCATTTTAAATTTTTTTTATTCATTTATTTATTTATTTAGGCAACCAACTGGAAAGGGGATCTGAACCCTTGACCTTGGCATTACCAACACCAGGCACTGCCATGAGGTGCTATGTCACTGTAGGCATTTCCCTAATGGTTAATGATGTTGAGCATCATTTCATGTACTTATTAGCCATTTTTATATCTTCTTTGGAGAAATGTTTATTCACGTCTTTTGCTCATTTTTAAAATCAGGTTGGTTTTATTGTTGTTGAGTTGTAGGAGTCTTCAAAATTATATTATGGATATTAATCCCTTATAAGATATATAACTTGCAAATATTTACTTCCATTTTATGGGCTGCCTTTGTAGTCTATTGATAGTGTTTTTTGATGCGGAAATTTTTAAAATTTTCACGAAGTTCAATTTGTCTGTTTTTTCTTTTTTACCTATGACTTTGTTGTAACATTCAAGAAATCATTTTCAAATCCAATGTTGTGAACATTTTGCCCTACATTTTCTTCTACAAATTTTATGGTTTTAGGTCTTATATTAGGTACTC